CTATTGGGGAATACGCATCTGAGTGTTAATTGCATCCAAAGCCCTGTAACAGAAAGTGTCCAATAATAGCAGTCCCCTTTCCTCGTGTTTTACTCCCTCCATTTACCCCACAGACTCGCCCAGAAAACATACACACACACACACACACACACACACACACACACACACACACACACACACACATACTTACATGGCTAATTGGGGTGTACCAAAAAGTAAATCATAGTAAAGAACTGAGCTCCTCACATTATACAAGAAGATACCATAAAAATTAAAATTAAATAAATAAATAAATAAATAAGAAACACACAAAAGAGTGTTCTTTTATTTTTTTGTGTTTTTGCGTCCCTTCCCTTATTTTTATCTCGTCCAATGAACCACCCACAGCCTCTCTTTATCTCTTTCTATATATATATATATTTATTTATTTATTTATGCACTTTGGTTATGAATATGACAATCATTTCTTATTGCCGGCGTTACCGTCAGCCATGCGTCGAATGACAGGAAATATGGTAAAGGTAAGTGCCACGTGTGTACCCACATGCACACTCCGTGCAATAACACCCGCGTAGAAACCAGCAACCCCACGCTGATGATAAATGCTGCGAAAATAACTCATGCAGCCCATCCTATGCGGTGACCCACATTCATTCGACATCATCCATGTCACTTTTCTACTCCTGTTGCTCGTGTTCTTTCTGTTGTTGTAAATGACGGTGTCATGTAACGTGCCGGACTGCAGCTGTGTCTTGATGACATCCACGGGTTGTGTAATTAGAACCGAAAGCACACCCGCAAAGAAACCGGCAATTCCATTCCAAAAGGGATTTTTTCTTCGTTCCTCCCGCAGCCGCCTCATCCACTCCTTCTCCGCTTCGCCTCTCACACCTTTTCTGTCATGCCATAGACCGATAACGGCATCACTACAGAACGCATCCATGACAAACTTTTGCACCGGGAATCGCAGGGATTGGTTGAGCCCTTGTTTCACCATTGTCGCGCTCACGCCACTGTAAAACGTGCGCCGAAAGCCCTTCTCCCGCAGCATCAACCGCACGGCACCAACGGTACCAAGCGAGTGGTATCGCGGGAACGGTTGCTTGGAATCATGAATAAGTTGTGTCTTCACGCTTTCTGTTGGGCCTACGGCACACAGCGTCTCTACAAACCCCGCAAAGAAGCCGCAGACACTCAGGACAGGTAGACTAAGTATCACCTCGTTATGCACACTGCCATCACGGCTGGTTATTCTTTTGGCGGTCTCCGTGGCCCACTCGTATGCGGCCCAACGGGAAGCCTGTTTTGGCATGGAGCCCAATAATACCGGTACAAAGCCGCGATATAAACCCAATGGACTGTGTTGCTGTACAGTTCTCTTCACACAGTCCCACATGCCACTGTACACATGCGCTGACGGAGACGAAGACGAAGAGAAATGCAAATGAGAGAGCTGTTGAAGCTGAAGATGCGTCTTGACATACTCTATCGGATACGTGACGATGGCCTCAATACCACCCGTCAATGCACCGGCAAGAAAAGACCAAAAGAGGGCATAATAATCATAATTCACGTTGCAGGTTGGGATTTCACGCCCTTTCGATGATGGAAAAATGTGAACTGGAACCAAAGGCACATCGGCCGTGCTGCCAGCCAACACAGACATGGCCGCGGCTTAAACCTAACCGATAAGAGGAGCAAAACAACAACAACAACAACAAGAAACGGAGGAGTAACCAACAAACGTAGTCGGAATTATCCGGCCTGCTGGAGACAAGTGAAAACTTCACCACGTTGAATTTTGCATTTTCCCACTATCTCCCTCACTACTTCTTCTATTTTTTCCCCCCACATTGGTAGGCAATGCAATATATATATATATATGTATATTCGTTTTTGAATACGCATCGAATACTCCTTTTTTCTTTCTCTCTCTCTCTCTCTCTCATGGTCTCAAACGTTCATCACCCTTCCTTGCCTGCGTTTAGGTTTTTTTTTTTTTTTTTTTTGCTCAATAAAATTGTTGGGGAGCTGCTCCACCGCCATTTCCCGCACTGCCTCCACCACCTTTGCCAATGTGAAGGAAGTGGCAGTATGGTCCACGCCTGCAGCCCTCCCGCGTGTTAAAAAAGGCACACACCTTGCCATACAACGCATTGTTCACATGACGCTCATTTCTTCGTATTTGCGAAAGCCGATAGTCCTCCGAGGAGGAGGATGTGAAACTTGGAGGAATTATCGGTGTACCCAACACGGATGGCGCTGAATTGGACTGTTGTTGTTGTTGTTGCTGTTGTTGACTGTGAGTGTACATGCCACCATCTATCACAGGTGGCGTTTCGTTTGATAAAAACAACATGTTGCTATTCTTGCTACCATTATTTGGCGTGGCTGAAGTCAGCGGGGTTGTCGACACGGAACCTGCCGCGTGATAGTACGGCGGGGCGGTGCCCGCATGCGGTCTAGGTGTTTCCTTCGAATGGATTTCAGTGTTACTGCCACTCCCACCCGCATTTCGTGCGTGCACAGCAACCGTAATGAGGTCCAGCGACGACGGGTCGGAACAGTTAATGCCACAGTGGCCATTCATCGCAAAGTAGAAGTCCATCAACGCCTGATGCGCCACGTGCGGTGGCGAACGCAACGAAAGAAGATTCGGAAGCGTCACGGACTGCACCTGCTCCGAGGGAAGTGGCTGGTACGGGGAGGTCTGTATCTTGCGCACGAGACACACGGCAGAGGGGGCGGCGTGCTCGACCACATAATTTGTTTTCACCGTCCCCGTGGAGTGATAGGGGGGTGGTGCTGGTCCCGCCGCCGCACCTCCAGCGACGGATGCCATGCGTGCGGAAATGAATATGTTGACAGTGACGATGGAACGCCTGCTGCTGCTGCCGCTAGTGGTGCTGCTGGGGCCGTCACTCCAAGCTACAAGGGAACCACAAAACCGGCGGACGAAGAGACCAAAGACAAAACCCAAGACAACAACGACAACAACAACAACAACAACAACAACAGGCTTTTGCCCCAAACAACAAACAAACGATCAACATCAACTACAACACACACACACACACACACAAACCATCCATCCAAATGTTCTCTTTTGTTACTCATCTTTTACTTCCCCCACTCCACCCCTACGCCAACACGTCTGTTCTCCACTTCTTCACTTCTCCACAATGACCCTTGTTGTAATTTTTCCTCCGCCATCTGGCCCTCTGCCAGCGGAAAAGACTTCCAGCACAGCCGCAGCTACCGAAGGGAAGAAACAAGCAAAGAAACACTGCAAAGATAACCCGTCTGTGTCAAATAAATGCGGCCAACTCGTCATCAGCTCACATACGTAGTACATACACACCGGCACACTGCTTTACGTATACACGGCCATCAATTTCGCGTACGTTTAGGCTAAGAGTCTCCGTTGCTGCTGCTGCTGCTGCTGGCTCCACCAAGCTCATCATCACTTACGGACTCCATCTCATCATCATTCCCAGACTGGATGCCCTCGCTCCGTTCAATTAGTGCAACATTCCCGCGCGAGTGGTAACGCGCTGCCTCCTCTGGTGGAAGGGCCCAAAAGTCATCCAGACTATTCTGCGGGTTAGACTGGAGGAATTTCATCATGCCCATCAACTCACTCATTGCCCACGACTCTCGCTGCCGTATTCGGAAAGCCTCGGAAGAATTCTGTCTGCGCTGTTGGTATTCTTCATCCAGTACTGGGTAAAAGTCCCCCGCAAGACACATGTGTTCCCCAATAAACTTCATCAGTCTGTAACGGCGTCGCGGATGCACCGTGACGTTGCCCGTATGCGGACAAGGCAGAAGAAGAATTGGATGACGGGGTACTGTGACATCCTGCAATAAAATACCCGCATGCCCAAACAACTGCCGAGGATTTATATAAGGCGTGGTCACGGCTACACGAGATGGCCTTTCGTTGAGGTGGATAATAAAGAACGATCCATCTTCATTCTTATCCGTGAGGCCAACAGTTTCTACATCCATCTTATGTGGCAAGGCGGAGGGTGTCGTGACGTGTCCCAACCTGTCATCAAATTCTTCACGAGTTGAACTGTGAAGAGGCATTGACTCCTCGTTTGTGTGGAAAGAGGCAATGGAAGAAGGGGATGGACCGCTTTCATTGCCATGACTCCTCGCCTTCTTGTCATGAGTACTATTGTCACAGGAATCATCACGTTGTCGTTTTCGAGACTTTTTACGACTGTCCTCCCCAACATGTCCCACCATTCGTGGTGGTTGCCTCCTCCCCCTAGTTGTCCCTTCCCGCTTCCCACCACCGAAAAAACAAAGAGACACACACGCACAGAAAGAGCGTTCGGCCAGGTTGACTTTGGACCCTCCTTTCTCTTTCCTACTGCCCACGGGACAATGCACAATAACACCAACGCGGAAGCGACATGAGCACGCGCGGCAGGAGGGATGCAGAGAGGCATAGAGCAAGAACAAAAGAAAAAAAAAACTCAGAAGCGACAAATAATCAATGGGAGAGAGCGGAAAGTTCAACCGGTGCAGACACACACACACACACACACAAACGTCGAGACGCCAATGGGTGTGGCGATGACGATGGAAGGAGCAGCTCGAATATCCAAAAAGATCTAAATGCTGGATGATACCACCGGTTCTTTCCTTCGTGAGTGGTGTGTGACCCGCCTTCACATGTCTCTCTTCCTCCGCAATGTTCCAAGCAGCGGGGAGTGAGGATCCGAGTGCTCATCATCCGCATCCGGGTCCTGCCACTCACACGCCTCATTCTCTTCTTCTCCCTCTTCATTGCTGGTAGTGGTGCTTCCGCCACGCCCATGTCCCCACGTGGATGCCCCTTCAGAAGGTCTGGTAAAAGGCTCTGTGTGATAGGAGTGCTGCTCATGAAAGTGCACTCTGGCACGCGCATTCAACGAGTGTGAGCCTCTGGGCAAAACCACCTCCTCGTGCCTTTCTATTCGCCGTGAGTCCAGTCGCACCGTCGGTCGCCCACGCACTTCTTCCTCCTCTTCCACGTCGTCGTCATCCTCGCCAAATCCACCGTAATTCAAAGCGTCAAACGAAACCCCGGAGCCTTCGCGTGGTCCACCGGCACTACTTCCAGGGGTTTGCCTGTAGCGCAGTTGTCGAGGCGACCACGAGGGACGCCCTTCTTCCAATATGATATCATCATCGTCTTCCGCGAACGCTCTCCAGCTGCCGCGTGGCTGCTCTGCCACAGTGTTCGTCATAGCCGTCGGCCCAAGGAGGTCGGTGTAGCGCTCCGTGCGATACGTCGCATCCGCAGATGTTGATGGTGCCTCATCTTCGTGATGTCTGTACGCATACGAGGAGGAGTTCCGGCGACTGGCTGGAGGCGCGTGACTCCGTGCATAATGCCGTGGCTGTCGCATACGTGAATGCCCCACAAATGCGGGGGAGACACGCTGGTGCATTGTGTACGTTGTGCGTGGCTGAAGAAACGGCATGTCGCAGTGATACCGCAGCAGGGCGTTGCGACTCGCGTTGTAATATGCCATAAGCAAGTCTGGGTGGTCTAACGGGGAGCACGAGGATGCCGTGAGGGCGGCACGGCTCACAGTAGAGGGGTTGTAGCACCGCTGCGGCAGTTGCTGTTGGCGGTGTTGTTGCATTTGCTGCGTGTTGTCGTTGTGACTACCGCCGTTTACATTCATGTGACTGTCCGCACGGGCTGCCGCGGGGTCACTCAGAGCCTGGTGCACAAACGCACAAAATAATTCTTCAGTTATCATTATCTCCCTTCGTCTTTACTGCCCGCTGCCTACGCTCCGCTGCAATAACGCCCTCCGCACGTAAATGAAAGAGAGAGAAAAGCAAGGGATGCACACTTCAATGCCACCTCCCGTCCCCCACTAAAAAGTAAACAAATTCACCAGGGAGTTCTCTCATACAACACACAGAGATTGACCCCACACGGAGCGAGGCAAAGTGAAAGAGGGAGGGTCAGCGGGAGGCAATCATTCATGCATGCATGCATGAAAGGTGGGCTGCCTTACTTCATTTCATTCTGTAGTTTTTAAAGTTAGATTAAATATCGGTCTTCGCAGGAATGTTCATTATGTTTCAGTCAATACACACACACAGAAAAAAAAAAAAAAAAAAAAAGAGGCGGCACACCAATTGCACATACAAATTAGAGGCATCCATGCATGCATACATGCCCACACCCACACCCGCAAGGGAAGAAAAAAGGGCGCATGGAGATGACACCTTCAATCCAATCCCCAATAAGACAGGCGGAAGACAACGAGCAAACAAACACATCAACAGGAGCTAATATATATATATATGTATGTATATAAATTAAGGAACGGTGGGAAAACGCTCGCAACTTCCTTTCCATTCCCTTCTTTGTCCCCTCCCGTTCACTTTTTTTTCCTCCGCTCTTCCTGCCATCCATTCACACGGTCCATCATTAGCGAATGTCTCTTTTCCCAATTCCTTTTCTTTTTTTTTTTTTCCTCCCTCCGGCACGCATCACTTCTTCTCTACAGGCAAGAGAATGAGGAAAGTCATCATCAGCCCGCTCATGCACGTATGCCGTGCGTACAAACTCCACCACCTCCCTCCCACCGCCCCGCGGTAAATAAATAAATGGGTACTTCTCACCTCTTTTTTTTTTTTTTGATTCTTTTATTATTATTTTTTCCCTTCCTTCTGCCCTATCGACTAGTGCGCCTTTTGCCGTCATGCCAAACAGCCCGTCTTTCAACCATTGCAGATCTCAGCTAACGGGGCCAGTCACGCGGAACTTGGGATGCCCCTTGCAGAGTGCAAACCCCACAAGCGTACCCGCCGCTGTGGGCTGCCAGTCAAAATACAGAATGCATACAGCCCCTACCCAGCAGGCGTAGCGCACCCAGCCGTTAAAGCTGTTGAGAATACAAATCGGCGAGAACCCTTGGTGCAGGTACTGCATCACAAACAATGCCGCCACAATGTCCCACGGGCCAAACTGCTTCTCTGCCGTGTTGTTCGTCATGTAATTAAACGTCCACATCAAAAAGCCAGACGCCACAGCGGTTACAATGCAGTAGATCATGAGACCACGTGAACCCACCGTTGGTAACACGCTGTGGCACATGGTGTGTAAAAGCATCATCGCAAATGCCATGGAGAGAAAGTTATTCATTAAAAGGGAGTGTAATCCCCATGCAAGTGGCATCAGCCGTGCATCAATACCCCAATTATCCAACCACCACTTCTCTTCCACGTTACTGCCGGTGCTACAAAGACAGAACACTGTAAAAAGAATAAAATTGAGGGCATTTGCGCTATTATATATGTCGGGAAACCGCACGTAATCGTCCTTTAGTCCTTCCAGATGCGCACGGAATCCCGTGGTCTTTTTACTCGTCTTATTACCTCCCTCACTTTTCTCTCCCTTTGCTTTTGGATGCTCCGCCCCATCGTTTTTGCTTCCGTCAGCTTCACTCTGCCCACTGGCGTGATTAGCGCGGACACGTACCCATCGGCGCTGCGTGGCGAGCGCGGAGATGAACGGTGCGGCTTGATAAAGCATACGATTGGGGACAAGAAGGGCATATCCAACGGGCCGCATCGCACATCGACCATGACGGCGAACAAATGCCTCAGGCTGAAGCGTCAAAAAGGAGGCCCCCAAAGTGCAGCGCAGACGTAGCATGAAGGGATCTTTTTCTTCCGTGTGCCTTGCCTGTTGCAGGCCCTTTCACTCTCTCTTCTTCTCTTTATTGTTTCTTTGTTATTTTTTTCCTCGCGAGTCGTTTGGTTTGACTGCTGCTCTGTGAACGTAAGAAACGTGCGGGAGACTCCGCACGTATGTACGTCTATGTATGTATATATGTGTGTGTTTGCCTCCCGTCACAACAGTGCCCTGCTGACGGTTGTAGTTCGGCCAAAGTCAGGCAAACAAGGGACGCTGATAGGCGCAACAACAACAACAGCAAAAGGCAAATATGTCGGCACGAAACGGCGGTGAGGAAGCAATCCCACCACAGCCGCAAAAACTACACACACATCACATCAAAGCTCGATTGTACACAGACAGCGTAAGGAACCGATAGAAGATAACGCACAGACACAGACACAAGATATTTTTAGAAACAACAAAAGAAAAAAAAAAAAAAAGAAAAATCGCCCCACCCGCAATCATCAGTCAAAGACACCAGCAAGAGGATCATAAAACGTGCTGCTGAAGGGGTTTATCTCTGATGTACCCTTGATCAGTTTGCCTTGATTAAGCCCGTAAGGCACACCTGGGCTTTGAACGACCCCTGCAGCGACATCACTCGCCTGCCCCAAAGTTGGTTTCCCCGGCGTTAATGATTCCGTCGTCAATTTGGTCGGCTGCGTCACGGTAATGTGGGGAAACGCCTTGCCACTCAAGGTCTGTGACAGTTCCATCTCCTGCGTCTGTGGCACAACATTTGTGTAGCCACAGCACTCCTCGCAGCGACGCAATCTCGATTTCACTTCTAATATATCATCCTGCAGCATTCGCTGCTGCTTGGCAAGCACGTGCTTCGTTAGCCCAGGCGCTCCAATATCCTGCACATGCTCAATTTGGGCAAACACACTCCTAACATCCTCCTGCAACACATTCATGCGGTGATCTAGGCTTGCCATCGTTCTGGAGGGTGCCGATAGCGTGAGCAACCCTTCACGGAGCGCCCGCTGCTCCTCTTCCAGGGCCTGCAGAGCGACATTGACACGCTGCATTTCATGCTGCATAGATGACAAAGACTCTTGCTCGGTGATATGCACAAGGCGCCGCACCTCATCCTCTACTTGCTTCTGTAGTCGCAACGTTGCGTCATTCGTAAACGTCTTAATCCGGCGAGCCTCGTTATTGAGCCGATTTTCCATCGACTCCTCAAACCGTCGGCTTCGCTCTTGCATCAGCACGGCGCTGTCCTTCAGATTGTTCTGCATTCGTCGGAGTTCCTCCTGTGTGTCCTGCAGAAGCCGTTGTGTTTCATCTGTGGAAACTTCCTGAGCCTGCCGTGCCGCGTCAATTTGCCGCGCTGTCTCACCTCGCAGTTGGGACGCCAATTCACGCTCCAACCGCCGCCCGGTCTCTGAAACCTGCTCGATGGCCATCCTCACCTCCTCGCGCTGCTTTTCAACGGCAACGCGCAATTCATCCCGCAGCCTCTCCTGCGCCGCCGCCAAATCATCCAGTCGCTGATGCTCGGATCGCACAATCATGTCGGTCTGCTGCTCATGGACGCGTCGCACTTCCGACAGAACCTTCGCGTGCAGCACATCCAGCTCCGCGGCCAAATGTTTTTCCTGCCGCGCAGTTGCTGTGGCCTGCTGAGTCTCAAGGCGCGCCATGTGAGACTGAATCAGCGTTTTCTGCTGATCCGAGAGCCCGTCAATGTCGGTTTGGTGTCGTTGCACGGTGCTCACGCAGCTGTGCACACGAACCCCCAGGCGTTGCTGCTGATCCATGACTTTTTCAATCTCCACGATACAGCGGACAAGGTCCTGACGAAGCACATCGACGTCGAGGCGAAGGCTGCGAAAATCCAGCGGTCCGGCAGCGGCAGGCGATGGGTCAATGGCAGCAGCAGAGGCAACACCGTTTTTAGCTGTCGTTTCTTGTGTGCTCGTGTTCACAGTGCTGCCACCCTTCAACCACTGCTGCTGTTGCTGCTGTTCACGTAGGAGTTGCTGGAGGTGCGATTCAGCAATACTCTTAACGCGGTCCTCCATCACTGCATCAAGTTCTGTGGCAACGAGGCTCCGTAGCGCCTCCTGCTTCAGCTCAAGCTGAGAAACACGCTCCTGTAGCCTCTGAATAAGCTCCTCGCCGCCGCCCCCTTCCAGTGGCGATGCTTCACGAAATCCATGAAGGCGCTTCAGGACTTCATCTATCAATTCTTCGCGTTGCCGCTGCATTTTGGTCTCCAATTTGCGTAGTTTCATTTCCATCTCCTGCACCTGCTGCGAGGTGTGTTGCTCCACACCTTGAGTGCGCCTCTCCAGCTGAGAGTGCAGCGCCTCCACCTCCTTCTCGAGGGCACTCTGCCGCACCTCATGCAGATGTGACTTCTCCTTCTGCGCTGCCGATGCCGCAATTGCCTCGGTTGCTAATTGCATCACCTCTTCCAGGTGGCGCAGCGTCAGCTCACTGCAGGGGGTGTTGTACCACTCCCCTCCCCTGCCACTTTTCCCTTTTTCTTTTCTCTCGCCCACTGCGCCGACACGCGGCTTCTTTGGGACACTCGCCAGGTCACCTTTTTTGCTCTTCGCGGGGGTGGCGTCCCGACCTTCCTTTGCCGTGTTTTCCAAGGCGTCGACACGTTGAATGCCATCTATACGTGTCAAGAATAATGAGCGCAATTCATCCACCTCCTCCATTGCAGCAATGATGGCGCGCTCCATCGCAGCAGAGCGCCGCTCCACGGATATGATGCGCTGCTCTAACATTGACTCCTCTTCGCTAGCTGCAGCCACGTGTTTATGTATCTATTCTGTGTCCTTAAATTATCGATAAGGCGAGAATAAAAAAAAGTAAGATCAAGATATATATATTGTAATCCTCCCCAATCTGCACGCCTCTGTGTGTGTAAATATATTTGCCGGAATCCGATGAGGAAAGGGCATTGAAAAACAACGGCAACCACGCAAAAAAAAAAAAAAAATATAGTAAGTGAGATTTGCAGCCAGCTACATTACAGGGAAATAACCCCCCACACACAAAAAGGGCCTCTCACTCGGGTTCACGGCTGTGCCAACGTGTACGCGTCCAAAGAAAAAAAAAAAAAATTCAAACGAGAGAACAAGGAGAATCATCATTCGCACGAGTAGGGATCGTGACAGCCCTCTCCAATAAGCAACACGCAGAGAAACGAGCACATGTACGTACGTATATGTATATACAGAGAAGGCAATACGGATGATAATGGTCAGAAACAAAGTTTCAAGGCTTTGGCAGCCTCATCACGAACATCACCGGATTTATCCTCCACCAGCAATCTCAGAAGCTGCAACACCACCCCGTTCTTCTCCTGATCCGTGAAGGTGACTTTGGATGTACGGGCTGCGGGGGTAGATGCCGAATTGGAAGAACCGGCAAGGATTCCATACAACTCCTTGGCAACAACAAGCCGCACGTTCAGCACCGCATCGTGTCCCAGATGGTCGAGCAATGGAAGAAGAATAGACTCCTTGTCGACTCCAAGACGAACCGCTATGCGAAGAAGCGAACTCCGGCTAAGATACGTCGCCATCGCCTTGGGGGACCTGACAATCAGTGGCCACAGCGTGTCATTGATAAAGACATCATCGTCATGTTGTTGCTGATTGTGGTAGGGCTTCTGCCTGTTACTTTTGCTTCTGCTCGCGGTGCCGCGGGAAATTCCACCTCTACTACCGCCGCCGCCACCGCCGCCGACAGCAGCCATTCCAACTCCACCGACGCCACTGCTGTTGCCATCGCTAGACGGGGCTGCCTGCAGCTGTGAGCGCGCCGCTGAGAGTTGGTCGCACATCTTCTCCAGCGACTCCAGCGCGCTATCTCGCACTGCCTTCACCTTGTCAAACAGGACTTCCACCAGAAGTGGAAGCAACGCCTCCTTGGCAAAGCCATGAAGCGGGTTGACACCATCTTCAGCCACCACCACGCCGCTTGGGCGTCCTGCCGCGACGCTGCTCTCACGCAGGCCATCCTCAAGAATGTGGGTCTCGCCCCCTGGCGGCAGTGAGACCGCCTCTACCGCGGCCAGTGAATTTGGCGCCAAAAACTTCACACACATCTCTGACAATATCCTCGCGTAGCGCTCACGATAGCGCCATACTTCATGACGTGAAAGGCTCTGCAAACACGCAATAAGGGCCTCTCTCCGCAACTGGGCCGCCCCATCCTTCCTGTGACTACCAATTGTCGCCGCAAGTCTCCCCGTTTCCACGGCACTGCTCACAAGAAGAGCTGCCAGCTCCGTCACAAGCGCAATTTGCACCGTTGGACTCTTATCGGTTAGTAGCATCATAAGCGACATGGTGGTGCCGTCCAGATACTGCAGCCACGTACTTTTTCCAAGTTCATCCACATGCAGATCACAGGCCATGACCATTGCGCTCAATGTTCGAGCAAGCGCGGAGAGCCCAGCGGCTGCGCCCGCCCGTACACGTTCCTCGGGATCGTGCAAGACGCATGCACAAGAGGAAAAAACAGCATCAAACAACTTTGGAAGTAAATGCATCAAAATACTGACAGAAAGCAGCCCTCCGTGCCCATTGCCGCCATTATTTCCAGCCTTCTTACCCACTGTATCCAATTTGGTGGGGTCCGCATGGCGGGCCTTCGATACACTGCTGCCTTCGCGTGTCTCCGAGACCACAAGTCTCTTTGACTTCATATCAACAACAACACCCCGTGGAAACACGAGACAAAACATACCTTGTCCCAGAGCCCGAAACACACCTGCAGCACACACAGAAATGACGCAGCGCACTTCCTCCTCCTCATCGCGCACAAGTTCCCGCATATGTCTGTCGCGCCCTTCCACTGAAGACCATTGCTCCACATGCAACTGACATAAAAACTCTGTGCATACTTCCACGAGTGCGGGACCGTCCCTGGGGTCATCGTCACCAACCCGACGCAAAACCTCAACAACTGCCGTTGTAATGTGCGGCAGGCGCTGCGTTGCCAACCACCTCGTTCTCCACGAGGGTAACGCGGCCAACCCGACCACGCAGTCACGATAGATTCTACATAATTGCAACAGTCGATCCATCTTTTCCACCAGCGTCAATTCCGAACTGCAATCTCCTTTTACTTGCAAGAAGTCTTTTATCGTGTGAGGACGCAGTAACTCGTCTAACAGGTGCTGCACCCCATCAATGACTGCCTCAGCAATGCCAGAATCGTGGCACACTTCACTCTCTAACGGCGGCCACATAGCATGCGGTGTATCCATGCCTTTCTTCTTGAACTTTTCTTTTATCGTCGTCGTCTTCGCTTTCACACTGCAATCTTCATTCAAATCCTTTTCATCATCGCCGCCTCCACCTTCTTCTGAGGCGAATAAGGTAGGAACGGGGGCAGCGATTGCCTGCAAGAAGACATCGGATACAGAAAAGAAACTCAACCCTCCCAGCCAATCCAGTGCTCCTGCAAATTGACTCCGTGCCGCACTGTTCGTCCATTGAATTAGTTGTGGCAACGAGCTCAAAAGACTCATGCGGACCACGCGGTGCATGACCGGTGCATTGCCACCCATAAATAAATTCCAAACCTCGCGCTCTGCCGCCCCAAGACCTCCACATCCCAATGCAATGGAACTACGACACTCCGCAATTGTGGAGGAGGTCGCTGGGTTCCTTGTGACGATCAGGCGGTGTTCAGACAGAAGCATCATCAAATCCTCACAAGGCCTCTCTGCCCCACTGCTGATTGAGCGACCAACATGTGTTCGTGTTGTGGTGAACACAAACGTCACAAGTTCTTCTGTGGAACGTAGCAGAGATGGGGATGAAGATGGACGGAGTTCCTGACGTCGCTCCATGCGCTCAAACCAAGCAATACATGAGAATACATTGCTGATACACTCCACCGCGGAGCTCACCGCAGCAGCGTACTCGGACTTCAACATCGATTCCATAAGACCCACAAAAAGAGTCCATCGAGAACGAAATGCTTCACGCCGACACGAGTTTTCTGTGTAATCATGCGCCTCAATTGCATTGCCACTTGAGGCCATAATGGGTCCTTCCGCCTCCGCCTTCTCTTTGCTTACGTCACGGAGGAATGTGGCAACGGAACTACGCAGGCGGTTCGCGTAAAGATTGATTTGAAAGGGGTCCCACACCTCTGTGGTGCTGCCCAAAGCGGACTTCCCCGCGTGATATTTTCCAGTGTTCCAACCACCTCCATTACACCCGGTGGAGTGCCGCATCTCCACTCTGTTTCTTGCCCTCTCCCTTCTTCCACTATGACCACCATTTGTTGTAAAAGAAGAATAATTCATACCACCACTACTACTACCGCCACTTGTGTCAAATGTAATTTTTGGTTCATCGCCCAACTCGGCCCCATCACCGCCGTCCGGCCAAACCTTGAGATACTTCGCCTTCCAGTCGCAGAGGTCAGGGTTACGCTCGAGGGGGACACCAAAAAACAGCATTGGGATAACCACCTCGACAAGGAACCGACGGACACCGGCATCGTTGGAGGCACCCATGCTAACCACCACGGGTAGAAGGTTTTCTAGCGAGAGTGGCCGACCACTGTCTAAAAATGAAGTCACTGGACGTACGTTGGACGATGACAAGAATGACCCTGGCTGCCGCTGATACGTAAACGTGGATGTTGCAAAATCGATAAGAGCCATGCCAGTAACAAAACTGAGCTCTGCATCCTCCTCCTCTATGCAGCGCAGTAAGTACGGGATAACCTCCACCTTGGCCCACCGTGAACCTAACGCCTGTGCAAGGGCCGGTAGGCGGAGCACGGCATCGTAACGGGACCGTCGCCGTTCGCCTGGTTCCTCGTCAAGATCCTCCGCACCGCCTGCAGTTAGTGGCGCCTCTTCACGCCAAATGGCATCCGCGTCGGCATCCGCCCCGCCCGCTCCAAACGTCGCGGGATCCACGCTAAAAGGATCCGCTGGGGGAAGTGGCCAGTGGATGAGATCCTCCACAACCGAAAGGACCACCGTATTGTTATCCATCACCTCAATCACCCTCCCCGAGTTTATTTTATTTTAAATGTGTTCTTTTCTATCAAAAACCCCTAATCTCCCCCTCCTCCACCCAAAAGATTTTTTTTTTTTTCTTTTTCTTCTTCCTTCGGGTCTTCCTTCTTCACTCGCTTGACCCTTTTGTTTAGTTCGCTGGTGCAGTTTCCACCACCGCCACTACTTCTTTTCCTGCCCCATGAAGATGTTAGAAAGGGGGTGTATGAAAGGCGTTTGCACATCCATTACACGGGGTGAAAAGCCAAAGCCACGTTACCCCACCACGTGAGAGAAAACACGGAAAAAACAAAACAAAAAAAAACACGGAGAGAAGGATGGTACCGTGAGACTCCTTGACGTCAAGAAATACACCCAAACACACTCACACACATAAATTTTTTTTTTTTTTTAACAAAAAGAAAAAAGGAAAACTTAAGCCGCAGTTAATCGCATGTATATTTATAAGATCGGAATGTTTTGCTGACGTCCCTTTTGATTCCATTCATTCCATGTTTTTCCGAGAGGCAAAAGGAAAGAAAGGAAACCCAGCAATTTTGGGTGCAAATAGGATTCCCTCGTAAAGGTACACGGTCGACCAATAAAAAAAAAAAAAAAAAAAAAAGAGGTGTCCAAAGGAAATAAACGGAGAGAAATGGACAACGCTACTGCCCGTCAAGTTTTGCGTACTGCAGCACCAAATGTCTGCCGTAAAGATGCGTGGCTTTGAGAGTCTCCAAGGCCCGTTTAGCCTCCTCCTCCGAGAGAAACTCCACAAAAGCAAATCCACGATGATTGTTCTCACGATGAGATGAAAAATGATGGCTTTTACGCGGCAAGCGCACACTGCGAATCTCACTGAAGGCAGAGAAAAGATCCCGTATGTCTCTCTCCGTGGCCTCAAATGGAACATTCTTGACAACCAACTTGAGCGCGTCACATCCGGGCGGGACATGGCTTCCCTGACGTGCCGCCGCACCTCTACGAGCTACAACAGCCGAGGCCTTTGCGATGTCGTCTTCCTCTCCCTCTTCCACTGGAGATGCCGTGGCCGCAAGCCCCAATTTGGATGAACCGGACATTGTCGCTGTTGCTGTCGCGAGCATCGCCGTGGTCTGCTTGCTCGGTACACATGCAAGTGTTCGTTTGGCAAAACTCCTCCCGTTAAGCCGCTGCTGCACATACTTGAAAGTACTCTGTTCCTTCAACGTGAGGAAGGCGCGCCCCTTGTCTTGTTCAAACGCTAGCCGCTCAATGTGTTTTTCCGGCACTTTGGCGAGTCGGGGGCAGGTGTCAAGTAAAAACACGTAGAATTCCTCCTCATTCGACGTAAACGGAATGTTTGTGATGAAGAGCGTAAAGACAGGGGCAAAGGCTGCATTGCCGCTCGGTGCATCCAAGTCGGCCTTCTCCACGTCGTGCGGCTTCGCTCCATCCGTGGCAGAGCTGGTGTCCTTTACAGGCATCTTCGTTTTGTCATCGTCGTCACGCCCATCTTCATCGTCATTTGTCACGATGGCGCCAATGGGGGCCCACTCCAGGAAGAGCGGTGCATTTTTAAACAATTTGTACGAGAGTCGTTGAAAAGCCACACGTGCATCCTGCTGATGGGTATAGCGGAATAGCGCAAACCCGCCCGCGGATGGGAACGCTGTGGCCTCCAGTGCCCCGTAGCGCAGAAACATCTTACTCAACTGGGCTGCATCATCCGGGTCTGTCGTCTGAATATTCTTCACGAGGATTGTGGTGTTACTGCGTGTCTTCAACAAATTCTGCCGGGCACTCTCCAGTAAACCAAAGTCAATCCCTTCATCGCCCAGTACCTGTTGAATCTCCGTCGTCAGGTAGGCCTCGGCAATGGCAGCACGCACGGCGGCGCCTCGTGCATTAACAGAGATGACGGCATCCGGTGTAACACCAATTCGCTTTGCCACCAACTCTACAGCTGCATGACTATTCATGTACATCGTGTTCCATCCCATCGTCGAGCCGTTTTCATTGCGACGCTCCTGCTCCTTCAGGCGCTTAAATGCACTGTTGCCCGCCATTGCGGCCGCGTCACCGTGAGATTCGAGTTTCTTGGTGTACGGATCGTCCTCTGCAGCGCTGACGCGTAACAATCGGCCCATAAAGACAGCACCACGACACAATGAAAGAGCCCGCATGGCATCCTCCACCCGCACAAACTTCACAAATGCTGCGCCTTTACTCTGCCGTGTGTCTTTGGTCAAGGGAATATGAACGGCCTCCACAGAACCCACCAGCGAGGAGGCGAACTGCTTCACATCATCTTCCGTAGCGATGTATGGGATATTCCCAAGGCGTATCCGACGGCTTTCTTGTACAATCGCCTCCTGATCATCCTTTTTGGAAGAATCATCTACACAAGATGGCTGCTGCCGTGACTCACTCCCCACATCCTCCTGTTGCTCTCCCCCAGCATCATCCTCATCATCGCCTATGTTTCCATCGTCTTCATCCACGACCCCGTTCCCTTTCACCGAGGAATTCCTCCTAATTGTCGCCTCTGTTCTGGTCGCTATTGAGGCTAAGAAATCCAAATCACTTACTTTTCCCAGCGCCTGTTGCCGCTCCAGTGCCCGTCGCTCATTCTCCTCTTCGTCAAGGGCGTCATTCTCCTCGTTGATGTGGACATCATATTCATTGCCGTGGGCACCACCCATTACGGTGCCGCCTTCCACGGTCCGGGCGTTGGATTCAGCGGACTCCGGCAGTAAAACCTCTGTGGTCCACGTTGGGCCGGACGTTGCCTTCAATCGCTCGGCGATAAATTCCTTCTTCCGTTCGTTCTTCTTACGCAACTGGGCATCTTCCTCCATTTCCATGCCGCCTCCGTCCCCCTGCTCCGCGACCGTCTTCTGTCCCCCGTCTCGAGGACGCTTCATTGCCCCACCACTGCTGCCCGCAGTTCCTTCACCGTCCCTCTTACCCGCTGCGGCGCTCCGCTGCGGCCGCCCTTCCGCTCCTTCCATTTTCTTTCTCATGTTCGTTGTCACACCAACGTCAGCAAGACCCTTCGCCACCTCAACCCGCAACTTCGCGCTGCCAAAGTATGTGCCATCAAAGTGCCGGACAACAAAATTACCACTGGCGGCATTGCGAAACCCCATAAATGCCATGCGAACCACACCCCTGCCCTTGCCGGTGGACTGAGACCGCTTGATCACACAGTCCGTGATCTCTAAGTGAGGCCCAGAGGGCGGCAGGGAAGCGAGTAGATGACGTCGCAGCTGCTCCTCCGTGCAGTCACGCGGAAGGTTCAAAACGCGCACACGAGACATGCACGAAGAGGGTAAAAAGAAAACGCGTTGTTCCACACCGGCCGCGCCCCTTCAACCTCCCTTTTCTCAATCCCCTCGTGTGAGATAACAACAACAAAAAGGAGAAAAAAAAGAAACCTATTCCTTTCCTTCAATCCCTCTGCTTTGCTCAGCAAAAAAAAAAAAAAAGGCAGAGAATAAAACACATTACAGGCTATGGGACAACATGAAATAAAGACATATACACCCGTGCTGCAGTTCCCCCTTTCATCGGATGATTTTTGCGGATGCAAAACTATTGCCGCCCGTCAAATCACACACACACACACACACACACACACACAAACCGCCCACGAACAAAAAACAAAAAACGATCAAATTCCACACATTTCCCCTTCACCGCAATGATCCCTGTTGTGCACATCCTCCCCTTCATCAAAGAGAAACACACACAAATACACACACTTTCCATGGGCTTCCGGAGTGTTAGTAACGATTGAGGCACACACGCACCTGACTCCAATAGTCGTCAGAAAATGGAATCGTCCCGGGAACCTCCGGATTAACGGCAAAAAACGCCATGCAACATGTTAGTCGAACCGTACTAAAGAAAAATCCAAGAAGAAAGAGGAGTAAAAAAGCCTTCATGAGCCCAGTCGCCAGTGAATCCAAAAACATCCCGCTCCTCCTCTCACACAAACACACCGTTCAAGCAGCAACCGCAATGGCAACAACAACAACAACAACAACAACAACAAAAAAGAATCCCTCGCACACCACTTTGAGACTCTTTTATCGAGTTACTCCCTTCGGTTACCATGTGTATGTGTGTGTGTGTGTGTACATTTAAATTTAAAGGCCCAACAGAAGATCAATCAAGACAACCAAAAAAAAAAAAAAAAAAAAAAAAGAGGAAAAGCCATAATTAAGACAGACGCAGACAAAAAAAAAAAAAAAAGAATGAAAAAGGAACACAGGCAATCAAACTCCATCACCCCTTTTCATTCGATTCACGCACCTCTTGTGTGTGAGTGTGTATGAGGAATGTACTCGACAAACGGGCGGAAGGCAAAGTGCACAGACACACACACACACTCCGTACAATGCCATCATTGGCAAATACAAAGGCATTATTTAACCTCAAATATCTTTCCGCCTTCGCTTGTGGTCAGGCGCAGCGCTGTTTTCACGGCTGTAAAACTCCTGCAATAACGCTATCGCCTCTTCGGCTCGGTGGCCCCCGCAACTCTCATAGGCAGGGGCGCTGGTGGATTTCGCCGCATGCACCGCGAGTACTGTGCCGTTTCCACCAAAGCGAGGATTGCCACACCCAAAATAGACCTTCTTGATACGGTTGTACAGCAGCATGGCGGCACACATGATACAAGGCTCCACCACAACATAAAGAACATACCCGGCAAGGCTTGCAGGTGGTTTCCGCCCCTTTTCTGCCGCATCGCGCAACAATGCCTCCACAGCCACAAACTCTGCATGGGCAAGAGCGTGGTGCTCCTTGTTAGTGGCATTGCGTCCACGTGCCGCGATGAGGCTCCCAAGCGACGCTTCACTATTGTTGGAATTATTATCATCTAAGCGTCCTGCATTGGCCGGACATGACGCCTCCGCTGGCACTAAAACACAACCTACAGGGACTTCTCCCTCCGCGAGAGCCGCCCGTGCCTCCGCAAAGGCGGCAAGCATAAATGCATCACAGTACACCACCTTATCGTTGTTGATCCCTTCCCCCATGACGGTGGATAACAGCAATACTATTATTAACGACAGCTTCACCGTGTGACTTTTCCTCACTGCAAAGAAATAAAACAAAAAAGCAAACGACGTTCGTGTACATATCCAGACTACATGTAATATACACAAGGGAGAAAAATAAAGAGAAAACAACAACAACAACGACATACTCATTGATCCCCAAGCCACACCTAACAAGACAGTTGACTCCACAAGTTTACTCAAAATAGAAGGAGATAGAGAATTATGTTTCATACACCAAAGGTGTCGACGCATTCGCACTTTATTTAAATCCAACCCACTGTTCCTCTCTCTTTCTCTCTTTGCTACATATATATATATATATATATATATATATATATATGTTAATGCATTGCCTGACAGACCAGCAAAGAGACAGGCGACATCCACCACGCATTTCTTCCTTCAAGGGACTTTCACTCGCGTCCAGCAACTCCAATCGCATCCAGTGAGCCTTCCTTCGCCATCCCTAATGGCAAGAGGCCCCGCTTCGCCATAATCGCCGCCAACCTGTTCGTGTGCTCGTATAAAAAGCCAACAGGACCCGTAATGTGTTCACCGCTCTCATTCCACTTTACTCGTCTCGTCACTTACACGGGAGGATGGAGTAAAAAAAAAAAAAAAAAAGAGGACGCATCAAAAAACAAAAACAAAAGCAACAACAACGACCGGACAAGAGAAAAAAAAAGAAGTCCCTCCCCAAACCACACGGGACACGTTTGCATACGCAAATTTTTCAGTAAAAAAAAAAAAAAAAAAAGAAAAAATAAGCAGGAATAGAAACGTTGTGTGTGTTTGTGTGTAATGAGGCGTTAATATCATTTGAGCCAAAGTCGAATAAAATGGCCCGCAAACAAACAGGAGAACAATATGTGAGAGAATGACATTTAAAGAAGATTTATTCTTCAAACAAACACACAAAAATAAATTAAAAAAAAAAACCCCTCCTCCCCAAAGAAAAAGAAGAAGAAGAAAAAAAAAAAAAAAAAAAAAAAGCAAAACAAAACAGAGGAAACACTAATGCTCGTTAAAGAGAGAAAAATATTCTTCTTCTTCTTCTTCCATTCTTTTCTCATCCTTTTACCCTGTTGTTAATCATACTCCACTCCATTCCTCTTTTCCTTCACGCTCTTCTTGACGCATTTCTGTATATAAATATAAATATAAATATATAATAATTAGTAGGCACTCACGTGTATGCTAACACCAAGAGGATGCATACTTATCAAGAAAGAAGAAAAAAAAAAAAAAAAGAAAAAAAAGGGAAAAGGAAAAAAGAAAAAAAGTGTGTTTCCCAGAAAAATAAACAAAATGTCGCCTTCTTTCACACAAACACAGACACACACACACATACACTAAGACACACACACTGAGACACACTAACCATCTGTATATGTCGTCTGTTTGGACTTAAATGCAGGTTTAGGAACATTACACAACGTGAAACAAGTAAAATGAACACCGCCAAATGAAAGTAACAAGAAGAAATAAATAAAAAAAATGCATCGGAGAATGAGTAATTAGGAATAATGGCAAAAGAAATAACAAAGGAGGATATGGGGCGGCACGGTATGTGTGTGTGTGTGTGTCCGCATGTAATAATAACAATAATAATAATAATAATAACAAACACATCTCCCGTCCCACTATAAAAAGTAATAAAGTAATACTTTCCTTATTCATGGAAACACACATGCATACATGCACACACATTCTCTCCTAGTCCCCATTAGTTCCCTTTGATGTCTCTGTGTTCTCTGTGTTCTCTTCCCGTCTCTCTCTCTCATGAAGGTAGATTTCCCTTTATCCAGCACCGTCTTCGGTTCCCCCCTCCTCCCCTCCTCCCTCGCCCTTTAATGCCTCCGTTGTTATGTGGGAACGTCTCTTCGCTTCTCCCTTTTTTCCCTTCCTCTTCTTCAAGTTACATCGGGCCCCCCCCGCATCCTTTTCTAATTCTATTTTATTTTCATTCTTGTTTTGCTCTTTCAAGGCGTCTTTGATTTCATTTAGTTTTCTCTTCGCTTAGTCATTTCATTTCATTTCATTTTTTTTTTTTATTATATCCCAGTCTTTCTCTCTCTCTCTCTCTCGCACGCTTTCTCTCTCTTCCTCTGTTTTCATATGCCTCCAGAAACATTTACTCACCGGTAAATATATTGTACGTCTGGCGGTTGGCGTACCCCGCGCCCGGACGAAACGCGCGGCTAGCGACAGGCGTCACGGCTGGTCCCTGTTGTTGTTGTTGTGGTGGTGGTGGTGGTGGTGGCTGCTGTTCGTGCTGGGATTTCTGAGGCGACGGCGACTTGCGTGAGCGGCTTTCCTCTGCATCTATCGTAATCACCAATTCTCTTTCCTCTCCCGCCGCTGCCTCGTTCGTGAGATCGCCTTCGTTCCTTTTTTTTTTGTTGTTGTTAGCGTTCGTCGGGACACCGGCCACGTGTTGCTTGTCGTTGCAGTCAAACGCCCTTCCGCCGGCGTAGACGCCCTCCGTGTGGGTGGTGTTCCACTTCAGCCCGTCCTGCCCCATCAACTCCTTCATGGTGTTGCCGCCAACGTGCTCGCGGTAGAGGCGGCTCTGGCGCACGCAGGGGCGGTCGCCCAGCAGGTTGCCCTGATTTTGCGTGAGCGACGGGTTGTCGAGGTGTTGATGGCCGGGCATACGGAACACGTTTGCACACACACACACACACTTACACTTACAAAAAGGAGCGAAAATTAAAAATAAATATTTCCTCACTCTTTTGTGTTGCCTTCGAGTCTACACGGTTGGATGCAAATCCTCCCCTTTTCCACCGTTACTCTCTCCGCCGGGGGTGTACTTAATTTTTTTTTTTTTTAAATATATTTTTATTTTTTGTTTGTTTGTTTGTCCCTCCGCGTGCGTGTGGGGATAAATGAATGGAAAGAAGTGACGGTGAAATGAGCGGACACTTAAAAAAAAAAGAAAAAAAAAAAAAAAAAAAAAAAAAAGAAAAAAAAAGTGCACATTTGCAGAGAAAAATAAAAAACATCTCCACCCACTCCCCACTCCCTCCAGCCACGGGCCCTGGGAGCCACTCACGCCATGCGTTGCAGAAACAAAAACCCAAAGCGGGCAAACGACAATAAAACAACGACAACAAGACAGAAGAAAAACAAAAAACAAAAAAACAAAAAACAAAAAACAAAGAAAACAGAGCAGAGAAAAACAAAAATAACACCACCACCACCCTTTTTCTTCTCTCTCTCTCTGTTTCTCACTTATCGCTTTCGTTCTTCCCTTTTTTCTTTTTTTGTTCTTTCCACCATGCATGTTGTCCCTGCTGCCAATATAAACATGTATGGGCCCATGTATTTGTGTATACGTAGAGGGGGGGCGGAGGGGGAAGGGGGAGAGGAATACCGTCAGAGCAAATATAAATATAAATAATCCTGCACCATCTTCTTCACTTTATGTGAAATGCAAGTTGTAAGCAATTAAATTAAATCATGGATAAATATATAAATATAAAGCATAACAAAATTTTTCTTCTTTTTCTTTTCCTCCCTGTTTTATTTTTATTTTTATTTTTTCTTCACCCCCCTCCCCTCCCCTCCCCTCTCGCTCTCTCTTTTATTTACGCACACACACACACACACACTTTCAGTCAATATCGCTCTCGATCACTGTTTTCTCATTTCCCTCACGTACGTTTCTTTACAAAAAGAAAGAAAAGAAAAAATGAAGATGACATGTCTTGCTCTTACATACATTGATATTACATTGATAAATCATAAAACATTACATAAATAAATGCATTCATATGTATACACGCAAATACACAGAGGAGGCATGCATTGTGAATCCTTCCCATATCAAAAAAAAACAAAGACAACATCCCGTTCCCAAATCAAATCATAAAAAAAAAACAACAACCGAAAAACAAACAAAGTACAAATAAGAAGAAGAACAACAACAGACATATATATATATATATATATATATATATACATACAGACACACACAGCATCCAAAAGCCCATTCAAATTGCCATTAGTCGTGTACTTATATATGTATATATATATATATTCAATGTCCCCGCCGTGTTTTTTTTTTTTTTTTACTTTTCACGCAACCCCCTTCTCCTTTTTGCACACACTTTTCTTTTTTTTGTTCTTCACATGGCATTTTCCTTGAATTCTTGTTTTCATCTCCAATTTTGACTCATTTGCCAACTCCACGGCGGAAAGCCAGGCCTCGATGCCCCGAAACCTCGAGACCGCCCCACCCGGCAGTTGGTGCTCCTTCCTGTCGTCAGTGGAATGACGCACACACACCGGCGTGTCGACTGTGACTTGAGGGAAACCCGCTCCCGCCATCGCTGCAGGAGCATCATTCTTTAATCCCTCCATCTGCTGGTGGTCATCCACGCCATCACCCCGGCGCGATCGGTTCGCCACCGCCGGAAAACTATCCGGAACCACCTGCCGACACGATGCCACGTATTTCGCCAGCAACGCGGCGTTGCGACGCTTCGCCTGCACCTTAAGCTCATAAATGGCCTCTTCGGCCGCATATGCTGAGATCTCCATCGTCCTTTCCCCATCAACGCATGTGGAACAATGTGTCCAGAGGGACGGCTGTATGTTCTCATCACTATTACCATTATTATTGTTGTTCTTATTATCATCAACATCAAAACTCTGACGGGGGTGGTTACGCAGCCTGAAACTGGCCAAACCGGCGCCAAATGCACACGATGAAGTAGTAGTGATGCTTAAGGCGTCAAAAATTTCCCTATCATTGTGATAGCTGTCATCTAGGCTGTTATAATGGTCCTCTTCGTGGCAGTAAACCTCCAAGGAAGAGGGCTCTTCATCTGTAAGAGGATTTTTCCCTTCTACACAACACAGATAGGCCTTTGCAAATAATGCCGCCAACCGGGAAGATTTTTGTTTGCGTTCATAGAGACAAAACGGAATATCGAGTTGTGATGCTCGCTCGGATACATCAAAGTCATAAACGCCTTCATGCGAGTGCTGTCCTTGATGCCGGACCTCTTCCACGCCAGCGGCAACGCACCGCAACTCTCGCGGAGGGAATTCGGAGTTGATTTTGTTTACCCCTCCACGAGACGCATCGTCGGCATGCCCATGATTCGTATCCCTTATGACAGCATGCCTCTGTGAATGTTTCTTCATTGCCCCCGTGTCCTCCTCTACTCTGCCGTCGCACTTGGATGGACGCTCTTGCTCAAAATCCGCTTTAAAAGGCAATGATGATTTAACGGATTTCATGCCATTTGAGTAAGTCGTCGGCACAGAGTCATCTTCCAGCGCTTTCCGCGGTAACTCTGCAAAACCAACCGGGGTTGTCCTCGCCGTTGGGTTCAGCCAAGTCCCTGTGCTCGTCAGGGCATCTGCTGTGCCACTTTGTGCCGTGGAATATGGAGAGAAGAAAGCAGCAGGGGCCCCTGTGTGGCTTACCCTAAACACCATGGTCGCGTCATCGGATTCATTGTGTCTCACTGAATCAAGAGGGGCATTGGTGATATTGCTCTGATCTGCTACACGTGACAACGTTGAGGCAGACGGCTGCACCAATTCTTTTTTTTCAGAATACTCCGTATTATCGCCTTTTGCCCCACCGGCATCACGCCTTCTACAGGATACGGGGTAAGAATCATTCCGTCGGAGATGAATTGTAACGTTTGGAGGCCCATGGTGGTGGCAACGCGAAGTCACCGTCTCTGTTGCCAGAAAGGGCTCCGCAAGGGACGCAACATGTGGCATCATGGAATTGGCGTTCTTGGTTGTCCTCGTTGAATTTACTGCCGAGCCAGTAATGATCGTCACGGACACCGAATGCCTGGGTGTGGGGCCGTAAATGTCACATAAGCTTTGCCCCGTCACGTCAGTGAGGGTCCATCCCCTTCGTTGCCTTTGGCTATCGTCCTTGACATGACTGTGGTGGTGCGGACCAGGCCAGTGATAACGCCGCGAAGCACGGCAGCTTGGGTGCTTCTCGACGCGCTCTGCAAATAGGGCGAGCATGCGGACACACACACACACACACGCACGCAGGCGCAAACAAACACGTACTTCTCTCCACGGTGCCGTAAAGGAAATACGCTGCGGTGCTGTGCGAGGGTGTCCGCACGTAAATTGTGTTTCCCCCCCTTTTTTTTTTTTACTTTATTTTATTTTGAGGGAAATGTTTTCGTCTCGACTTCTGCCTGCTTCTCTGAACAGCCACCTTCTCCTTACATTTGCAGCAAAGAAGCAGATGGAATGACGAGAAAACACAAAATTACAAAAAAGAGAAAGAAAAAAAAAAAAAAAAGAAAACCTTCTGGTCTCCTGTTTAAGCCCACAGGCAACACACAGTCACACGCATGCGTAGTATGTGCACTGCGGTGTGAATGCTCTTTACGCTCCTCTCCTCTCTCTCTCTTTTTGTGTAAAACGTTCATATCTATTTACACACATCAGTATTGACGTAAAAGATTTTTTCACACGCAATATAAAAAGAAGAAGAAAACAAAGAGACATCGGCCAATAACTTTCATGATCCACAACTCGTTCTTCCTCCCGCCAGAGAAAACAACAACAACAACAACAAAGGGCCGCTGCGCAAGTACAAACACAGGAACGCCTTTGTGCATATCAAACTACAGGAAGGAAGGACAACTTCCCCGTACAGGAGACGCGCCGCAATGGCCATTCGCCTCCTCTTGGAGCCGGTCAAGCAGCCGCAGCAAAAGGGGTAAATACGTGCTCTTAAACGCGGAGCAGTTCAGGTGCCGATGTCCGGAGAGGAAGAGCGTGCGGCACATCGCCAGAGTCTCATCCTCCAGTCTTCTGCGAAATGTCTCCTCCAGCGCCGTCTTGGTGCTCATCAGAGCACAAACCTTCTCTTCATCGCTTGTCCCGAGCCGTGTCGCTGAAGCCACTGCCGCCTTCAAACCGTCACGGTACGCACGTAGCGCCTGCTGCACCGCTGCGCTCGGTATGGTTTTTGTAAACAACAAGAGGCGTGTATACTCCTCCGCCGCAAGGGGTGCCATGATGGTGGGCAAAACCACAACCTCATCCACCAGCTCCCCAGCGTCGGCGTGGCGAAGCTCACGGCGCACGTCGTTCACGTACGCATTGAACTCCTCTGCACTTGTGAGCATTTGTGTAATAATCCCGCGAACACCGTGCCGCAAAATTTTTTCAAGCACCAACGTTTGCACCGCCCGCTGCCTTGCGTCGTGTGGTAAATCCGATGGTACATCACGCAAAGAGAGTACCTGCTCCACACGGTGAATTAACTTGCGTACATTCACACACGCTGCGTCCCACGTACGGGTCGAGAGATGTCCCGTGTTATCCACGCCCCTCTCGTTGATCCCATTGGACAGTTCTTCCATAAACGACAGGGACGCCTGGCGGTCACCGTCCCATATGCGATCCATTGGATGACCCTGAGAATATCCGCTGGAGAAGAGCGACACCGGCGCATCGGCCAGTCCTTTTACCTCTCTAGCCACAAATTGCAGCAGCTCTACACTGTCTTGGAAGTCGCCATGTCGCTCCTTCGTCTGAGACGACGCCTGGTCTCCTTGCCGTTGTAGCATCGCATCTCCGCGGAGTAACAGCAGCGAGTCGCCACCACGCTTCACCACAAAGTCGTGAAGAATACGTCGCACCCCTTCGTATGTAGCGGCCATGTTGTTGTTGTCATCTGCACTCATCGTGGCGGTCACTGTAAGAATCACGCGCCCACCAATTTGCCTTACACAATCCACGGCGGTCTGCAACCCACTGCACCCGGAGGCGGTAAAGTACGGTGCCTTCATGGGCAAAATGTAGTAAGCGGGCCGGTACGGACGGACCAACGCCACGGCGTCGCAGAAGGTTGAAGCGAGAGAAGGATCCCGCGGCGAAAGAAGTTCGACCCCAAACGTAAATCCCTCACCTACCAAAGGAGGAAACATGCGTGAGTGAAGCGTGCGCTGCCAATTTCTCATTGCCCCGTCCTCTTCCGTCTTCTTATCCCCACACCGACCTTCACAAATCGCATCCACGACATACACCTCCCTAGAATTACAGTTCCCCCCCCCTCCTTGACAATGGAGGGGGGTCATTACATACACGTACACTCAGAGATATTGGGAAGGAGGCGGAAAGGCTAACAAATAGATCAAATAAAAGAAAAATATTTTGCGCGCATGTTTGTATTGAAAATTTTTTTAATATCGATTGCGTAAACGTCGTAAAAATTTTATATTTCCCATCGACATCGCCCCCAATATTTAAGGGCAATGAGGAGAGACGGTCATTTCTCATGGCCCTCGATGCGTGGATGTATGAAGACGAAATCAGGGATCACACACCGGCACTGAAAACCGAGTATGCGAGCACACTTTAACAGTGCTCCCTCTCCCTCTTCCTCTATAACTCTTGCCACAGGCACCAATACACACACACACACACAAGCACAGACACAGACATGCGCAGACGCCCCACGGAAGCAAAAAAAAAAAAAAAAAATAATTGAAAACTCTTAAAGAAAGAAAAAAAGATAGAGAATAGCGTGACAAAACAGCTCATTTTTTAAATTTTATCTTTGTTTCTAACAAGTCTTGTCCACATCTATTGATCCCCCCACCTCCCCCACTCCTACACATCCTCCGTCTTAACATCGTCATTCTCTGCAACAAGACGGTTTCCAACGGCCTTCCTTCTTCTGATTCTTCCGTCCGTGTGTTCGTTGTTTCGGCCTCTCCCTTCTCCTCAGCAATATCTCCCGCAAGCATGCATACCTTCTGCATGTCTTGTGATGAAGCCAAATGTCACTGCCCCACTGTGTATCTCTCCCTCCTCCCATTTCTCTCTCTCTCTCTCTCTCTCTCTCTGTTTGTGTGAGTTTGGAAGGCTGTGGAAAGAAGCCGCGTTCGACGCCTCGTGAGAGAACTCAACTCTTCCATATGCCGCACGTATTGTCCTTTGACCCGGTCAAGATGGTGTCGCCCTCGTAGTTGAATGCACAGGAGAATATCTCGTCATTATGACCAGTAAGACATTGCAATACTTGCCCTGTTTCCACACTCCACACGCGGCATGTCTTGTCGTTTGCGGCGGAGATGACTTTTGTCCCCTGCGGGTTAAACTGCACTTTTGATATTTCACCCTCGTGGCCTACCAGACTTGCGATGCAGTTGCATGTCGCGGTGTCATACACGCGTGCCGTGGCATCTGCGCTAGCCGTCACAAACGATGATCCCGTCGCGTTAAAGGCAACATCGAGAATCTCGTCAGTGTGACCTCGAAGCGTTGCCACACATTGACCGGAGCCAACATCCCACAATTTACAATTGCGATCAATGCAGCCTGTGATGCAGAGATTTCCAGGGTAATCAAACTGCGTCGATGATATTTCAGCTCGATGTGCACTCAGAGTATGCACACACTTCCCAGTGCGAACATCCCATAATTTAGCACTTGTGTCAAAGCTACCAGTGAGAATTAAATTTCCACTTGTATTGAAATTAAGTGATACTATTTCTGCAGTATGTCCAAGGAGTGTAAATGTCTCCTGTCCAGTTTCCAGATCCCACACCTTCGCTGTGTAATCCATAGATCCAGAAGAAAGATGCGTGCTTTGCGGATTAAAACTCATACAAACCACTTCAGCCATATGACCCGACAAGGTGTGGTAACACTGCCCTGTAGCCGCATCCCATATTTTGCACGTCTTATCAAAACTGCCTGTGGCTACACGATTACCATAGGGATTGTTAAATGACACAGAATACACAACATTACGATGTCCTTCCAACGATACAACCTCGTTTCCAGAAGCTGTGTCCCATACCTTGCATGTGCGGTCGTAGCTTCCGGTAATAAAGGAGTCACCACCCTTATTAAAGGCACAGTTCGTCAAGGGTAACATATGTGCCCGTAGTGTCTTGAATAAATAAAACGTCTGCTTATTATTGTACCCTGCCTTTAGCTTTTCCACGAGGCGCCGCAGGTAAGATAAAAGCTGCGGCGTATACTTCTCAGAGAGTAGTGGCTCCTCCTTGATAATTTCCGCCGCAAGACGGTCTAAATTTGTCTGCGTTGTGAGTGTCAAGAGGTCTATTGTCTTTTCCCGCACCTCCCCTCCAGAGGTCTCGTACTCCAGCGTGATCCCTGGTGGGTAATACCGCAGCAAGAAGGAACGAAGACGCATTTGCTTTTTTTTTTTTCTTTTTTTTTCTCCCTCCGCTGTTCTTTTTGTTTTGTTGTTATTGTTGGTTTATTGGGTGGGAATGATTAGAATAATACGCGTACGTACGTGAATAATGATTTGGGCTTATAGGCTTCAATCAAACTGCCTTCATGATGACATCATTGTGGTGCATCAAAACGAAGCAAACACCCCACGCAGGGAGGCAGAAGAATACAAAAAAACCAACAACAACAACAATAAGAAAAAAAAAAAAAAGGGACAGTGTGGGAACATATATGTATGCATGCATGCATGCACGTACATGTGAGCATTTGGCTGACGCAGGGCCAATACGCGTCTCGTAACGCCTTCTTAAAAAGAAAGGGTGCAGCCATGGGAAAAACAAACAAACAACAACAATAACGACACACAGGCACAAAAAATAAAGAAGAAGGAAAACAACAACAACAAAGACAATGCACAAATGCCTTTGAATGCAGGTGTTATCCTGACGGTACTGCTACCGTCCCCCCCTGCCTCATCTTCTTCCTCCTTTTCCCTTTCACTCCCTTCAACCACATCTTCTTCCCTTGTCTCTTTGTTTTCACGCTTCCCTCTCTTTTTTTGTATTTTGTGTGTGTATATATATGTCTGTGGACTTCTGTTGTGCTTCCTTTCCGTCGTTTTACTTCGCGCGGAATCCTCCTCCTCCCCCTCCTTCTCTCCTCTTTCCGGCTCTTTTTTTCTTCCTTTTTTTCCTCCGTGTCATTCTATCCTCCATCCCCTCTTCATCGGAAACGTTACGCTCCTCGTCACGAAAGGTCATATGCCGCTTCGTCCTCTTCGTCATCCGGACTTTCCTCCCGCTCGTACTGCTCGTCTGCGTCATCGTCGTCCACGAAGAGTTCCTTGTCCATCTGCCACAAGTCCCATCCGCGCAGTTTGCCTTCCCCTGCCTTCGCCTTGCGCACCCGCGCCAACTCCAATTCGGCCGCCTGCGCCCGCTTCATCGCCTTCCATGCCTGAAAACTCTCCTCCGTCACGGGTGTTAGGTCGGTGCGATCCTTCAGTGCCTCGCGCTCCGCCTCCAGCTGCTCCTCTAATCGGCGTTCATCGTACCGCACCTCATCAAAGTCCTCCGGCTGGAACAGGTAGTCCTCGGGGGCACAACCGAGGTTCTTGTCCACCTCCCCTGCCTCGTGATCGCCGTCGCCTTCAGGCGGCTGGTGTGTGGCTGGTTTGCTCGCCTTCCCTACGTCCCTAAAGAGTTTTGCCATTTCCGCCTCAAAGGCCTTTTTCTCTTCACGAGCCCGTCGTTTAGCCTCGAGCTCCTCAGTGCGCTTTCGCTCATTCGGATTGCCTTGGTTCACATTCTTGGAAACGGACTGGATGTAAGACTGCACCTTCGCACTGCGGTTCTTGTTTTTGAGTCCAAACGTCTTGTCCTCGACGATCTTATCCTTCTTCTTCTGTTCCGCCTTCTTTCCCATCCTTCCCGTCTCCCCCACCCCCCGCACCTCACAGTAGTGGTGACAATTACCCCTTCAGCAAGGGTTTTATGCCTGTAGTTGTGTATGTACGTATATGTATGTGTGTGATTGACTGCTTCCCCACAGCAAGAGTGTTTTTTTTTGGCTCCCTCCGCCACACAAAGGCGGGTAAATAGAGGGAATAAAATGTTAAAAACAACAACAACAACAACAACAGGAAGAAGAATAAAAATGGAAGCGCACAAGAGGACTTAGACAACAACAACAGCAACACCAACAACAAAATGCGTGCGACGTGATGGAACACACAACTCCTCCCGTGCGACACGACACTGTGCTGAAAACCGGCATGATGAATATCATTCCGCACACGTACACGCGTGCAGCTTAACAAACATGCGTGTATGCGTATTAAAGATGCATTCTGTCATATGACTCCCTTCCCAGACACACACACACACACTCTCTCTCTCCCCCCCTCTCTCTCTCTCTTTATTTCGTTTACTCTATGTGGTGCATACAGCCGGCACACGCGTTCCATCAAAAGAGTCGGCACACACAAATAAAAACAAAAAAAAAAATATGTATCATCATCAATATGAGTTGTGAAGGAGGAGGAGAACCAAAGCCCACAAACGTACGGGCTTTTTAATGATGCCACTCAGAAGCTTTGAAAATTCACGTTATTACACAACGACCTCCCAGACACACAAACAAACAAGCAAACAAGTTTTCCCAATAACCCGCTAATAACGCCTTCTTGAAATGTATGGGGAAAAGTCCTTTTTTATCACCTTCTCAACATTTCTTTGCCCTCCTCCCATATTTTTTTTTGTGTTTGTGTATGTGTCAGTTGTGCCCTTTTTGCTCCCTTTCCCCCCTCCCCTTTAATCTATGGTCTATGCTCACAATTATCCCTCCACGCACAAAAACACACAGAGAGAGGGAGAGCCGGACACATATTATAATAATATGCATAGGCTCACAGATTGATTCTCAGTCATGGAAATACCGTGGAGAGAAACACACCAGCAACAGTCTCCTCCACCTCAACGCCTTGCTCTTTGAAACCAACGGTCTTCGTCATTGGAATCGCTGGAAGATTGGGGAAGGGCACGGCCCATACGTCGGCCACGATTACGTACACGCGGTGCCACAACAACTTCTTCCTCCTCCTCCTCCTCCTTGGAATCATCGTTTTGTGCCGAGACCGGCGGCGGTGGTGCACGCTTTGAACTTACTCCTTTCTTCGTCGGTCGCCGGACGGCTTCTTCTTCTTCCTCGTCTTCATTATTATCTGTGGTGGCTGCAGATGGTGCCGGCGGTGGTGATTTCTTCGTCGCATGTCCTTTCTTCGATACTGCCGTGTGCTGCTGTGATTGTGGTTGTGCGTGTACCTCTTCTTCCTTGTTGTCGTCGGCGTCCGAAGCATCATCGTCATCGTCATTGTCGTCTCCGGAGGCCGCTGGAGGAGGTGGAGGTGGCGGTGCACGTTTGCCAGCATGACTCGTCCTCCTCAACGGAGGGGCCCGCTGCTGCACGTGCTGCACATGTTGCCGCGGTGGCTCATCGCCGTCACCCTCGCCATCATATTCCTCGTCCTTCTCCCTCATTTTCTTCGCGTCCTCCGCAGGATGCGCACGGCCCCGGGCTGAGCGTCCCTTCACAGGAGCCGGCGAGGAGTGTCGCCTGCTGTTGCCACTGATTGTGGGAGGCTCACGTGGTGCCTCTTCTTCTTCTTCTTGTTCCTCATCATCTTCCTCTTCTCCATTACCCGCCTTTTGTTCTTCATCTTCCTCCTCCTCCTCTTCCTCTTCCTCCACCTCTTCATTTTCTTCATCCTCATTAACGGTGTCGGTCTTGTGCTTTGCAGCAGCGCTCTTCTGTTTTCCACCCCTCGCAGGCTTGACTTCTTCTTCCTCCTCCTCCTCCTCCTCATTTTCTTCTTCTTCCGCCGCTTCCTCGCCCACGGCATCAACACCATCAGCCTCTTCTTCCTCCTCTTCCTCGTCATCATCGTCGTCCTCCGCTGCGGTAGCTGCCGCCTTTACACCTGCGGCTGCATGGCTGCTGTGGCTGCCGGATTTAGAGGAGGCGTCCTTTGCGGGGGTGGAGGCCGCTGCAGGCGTGCGTCTTGTGGAAGGCCGTTTCTCAGCTTCCTCCTCCTCCTCCTCTTCCTCCTCCTCCGCTTCTGGCAATAGCTGCACAAGTGTGGGTGTGAGAAGCGCTTCCAGATCGTCGCGGTTGGTCAATATGTCGTGCACCACCGAGACACCGAGAGCCTCAATGCTGTCTACGATATCCGAGACACACGTGCAGTCGGCGATGGCGCCTGCCATACCGAGTGGCTCCGCAAGTTGTTGTAGACGCGTCTTCTCTGCTGTTGTAAAGGAACCAGTAATGTCAATGCTAACAATGGAGGTTGTCATGCTCTCCATGCCGTTTGATCCACCACTCCCCCCACTGATAGATGTGGCAAGAATGTGATAGTGCACGACATTAATGCGCGTCATAACCTTCTTTTCCACCACATGCAAGACACCGAGCATCGCCTCGCCAAAGCGGCAGCGAATGTCTTCCTCTCGTACCGTCTCTTTCAGGGAAGTTTCATATAGGTGCAGAGTTGTGCCCATCAACGCCGCCACACTACACCCGGAGTTGTAATCGATTGTTGGGCGAATCGGAGTGAACTTCTTGCCTTTGGTAGAGAAGAACGCCGTGTAAGCCTTGACGGCATCGGCAACTTTTTCTGCTGTCATGTCCGTTGCAACTTTACTGCGCCGCGTGCGATGCGGCCGACGGTCGGAGGAAAGCAAAGGAAAACCGTACGCTGGAATATCTTGCGGCTCCAGTGTGACTGCTTGCTCACGCGAGATGGCGCGAAGCAAGACGGCGCCATGCACTAATGCTTCCACACCCTTTTCCTTGAAAAACTTCGCTGTGGCATCATCCTCAGCGGCTTCATGCGCTTCCGTGTAGGCGCTATATGCAGACCACACCTGATACAACGCCGTGATCGCTGGGGATTCGCCGCCTGCCAGTTTGGCCGCACCAAATGTACTGTACAGCGCAAATGGGTCCACTTGCGCACTATCACCATCTAGAGCAATGACAAATCCCTTTTTTTCATCGTCTTTAATGTCGGGAAGATGAAGGTATCCATCGGCGCTATTGAACTGAATTAGCATCAGCTCTGCAAGACGTGCTAGAGATTTGTTTTGCTTTGAATCAGGCAATGTCTTTCCGGCGTCCGTCACAGCGGTCGCGTTTGCTTCCTGCTGCTGGTTGTGGTGTTCAGGCTCGGCCAACTTGTTCGCAGCGTCTGCAGACCTCTTTTTCTTCAACTTGGAGGGCTTCGCATCCTCGGCTTCTGCCCTGGCCGTCGTCCCCGAAGTTGTTGCTGCTGTCGATATTTGTGGCGGTGATGTTGATGCTGCCGCGGAACCTTCTGATGCGCCTTTGCTGTGAATACTGCCGCGTATGTACGGTGCCGGGGCAAACTCCTGTTCCGTTTCTTGCAGCAGCCTTGCAATCTCAGCGTCCTCGTCATCATCAGTGGCAGCGGCGGGGGAAACGGAGTGGGGCTTGTCATTCTTCTTGACATCTTCGGTTGTGGATGTGGCCGACGCCGCGGATTTTGCAGCGCCGCCTCCTGCGTGTTCTGTTACCTCCTCCACAGGCTCAGGGTGTTTGGCGTGTTTTCTTCCGCGAACTCTCGCAGGTTTGCTCGGCTTGGCGGTGTTGTTACCGCCATTCCCGTCCTCAGCGACTGCATCCTCAGCGCGCTTCTTCTTCGGAACGTCCGCCTCGCCTTGTGGATGCGTCTCGTCTCCCTCCTTCATCGCCGCGGCGTTGGCGGCGTTGGATGCGGCATCCGCAGTCTCTGGCAGTGCCTGCATACCCGTAATGAGTGGGGCAAGAAATTGCCGGTTGCTTTTATTCGCTGCAAACTCCTCAATGACGGCCTTTTGTATCGTCTTCGTTAGCCACGTGATGACCTGATTTTTTTGTGACTCCACGGGTTGTCGTGCCATTGCCGCGTATGCCTCTTCAAGAATACCACGGGAGTAGGCGGATATGGGCACACGCTCGCGGTTTTCATCCCAGCGGCCGACAGTTGTAATCCCCGCCAGTCGCAACGCCCGTGCGTCTTTGCATGCCTGATACCGTTCCGAACTCAGCACCACATCCAGCCACTCCTTTCGGCCGTGCAATGCCGCCATCTGTCGCTTCGGGACCATAACGACAAAGTCCAGCATGAAGACATCCTCCACGTCTGTTGCGTCAGGGTCTAACAGCAGCTGCACCATGCCCCGCAGTGTGTCCGTGCGAATGCCACTCCCACTTGCCTGGACGCTGGGGAGCAAAACTTTTTCAATGGAGCACTGGTGCGGAGAGGCGGGAAGTGGGCGGGTGGTTAATGTACACAGCGACGGCGTCGAGGTGGACTGTGCTCGGCTGCCAACGTACAGCCCCGTGTGAGATCCCGCGGCATATCGACAAGAAGCTCCGATACGTCTGAAGGATGTGGCCAGCGGTTTGAATGTACCAATGGCATCTGTGCTGTAAGTTGCATGACTCCACGTGGCTGCCACGACACCACTTGTAAAAGTAGTCTGCGGTACAAAACCAACCGTGATACGTCGGCGCAGCATTTATTCCCTTCACGGGAGACAAAACTACACTTGTTTTGTTTCTTTTTCCTTGTTTTCCCTCCTCCCTTCTTCCGAAGTGGACTCTATGCGTTCTATTTGCCGGGGCAGTGAACCCACCCAATTGCTTCCCCCCCCACACACACTTCGTGAATGATGTTTCCTTGCGTTTTTTTCTTTGGTGGGTGTGGCGCAGTGTTCCGTGGAGTCACACACACGCACACGCTCTTTGCCTTTTCCTCAGTACTCTCTTCTTCCCGTTATTCCCCACCGCCACACAAAGCAAACAAACAAACAAAAAAAAACGCAAAAAAAGGAAAAAAGAAATAAACAAGGAGACTCAACACGGCAATCCAATGTGACGACCAACAGGCGCATGCCACAAGACTCCTTTTTTATTATTATTAAAGATTTTCATTCAGTCACGTCACTGTGGGAGTTTTCAACACGTGTTTATCGTTGATGCACAGGCGTGAATCAACGCAAATGGGAATAATTACGCAAATAACAACAAGAGAAAAGGGAATTTTGCTAAAAGACAAAATATTTCCTTCTCCTTTTCCCTTAGGGGAAGACCCACATCCTCCCTCCTTATTTCGGTCATCATCATGTCTCCTACCACGAGGGTGTGTTAGACGCCACCTCTCGTTGCGGTAGAAATAATGCGGCTGCAGTGCACAATCAAAGCAGCCACCGCTACCATCAGCATCCCCCCACCCAAATATCCCACCCAAATCCTCCCCACCACTTGTGTGCAGTGACGGGCGGCTTAAATGTGATGGGCAGAAGAGGGGGTTTTAAAATAAGTGTATTTCGTCACAACAAATCCTCGCCCGCGGTGGCATCGGCTGTACACATGGGCGGTGAACAACTCAGACACAAGGTGCCTACGCGCTGTCCGCAGCGATGCAAAGGCAACTCCCATGGCGTCAACTCAACGTTTTGCGCCAGCGTTTCTTCGCTTTTCATTCTTTGCATTTTATTGTGAGAATAACGATTTGTGGCCTTTTCCACCGTGGCATGTATAATTTCAGCAAGGGGCAGCGTTGCAGACCCCACCAAACGTGCTTCGGCCTTCACTTCATTCAATTCAGAGCCGTATTCAAAGACAGAAAGAAGCATCTTGGCATGGGCGAGAACCACAGCGTGGTGTGGTAGCAACTCAATTTCTGCAACTGCTGCTGCTTCTGTCCCTAATTCTCGGCGTGGCAAGCCCAAATCACCTTTTGAATCAGGCAATTTAAACGACGGCCGCGATGATGTCAATGGCAGCGGTGGCTCCACAGAGTAGTTACCGATGATGCAATCCGATACGGGCAGCAGACTCTTCTTCTCTGAATTCAAGCATGACTTTGTTTGACGATAAATCAAAAGCGCTGTTACTCCATCCACCGGTGGCCTTTCGCGTGCAATGATGACAAGTGGCTGTGAGAGAAAGGGCACAAATTGCACAACAATAGCGAGACGTCGTGCTTCTCCTATAGCCTGTGTTCCGGTGGTCTCGCGTCCTTCCGGAATCCGCACTGCCAGGCGACGCAGACGCAGGTACCAACTCTGTGTGGGCCCCGGTTGGGCGGCCACTTGACTTCCCCACAGCGTACCACCAATTGAGGGTCGTAACACATGCACCGAGAACACCGCGGAAACGGGCAAGTGACCGGATAAAAGGAGTTCCTCCACCTGCTCCAACATGTCCCGCTCTTCTTTTCTTGGCGTTTTAAGCACTTGTTGTGGGTAACGTGGCGCCATATGTTCGTGTGCATCACGCAACCTAAGAATTCTTGGGAAATCCGGGAACAATGGCGGGACACTGCCGTACGCCCGTGGTGTCACTCGCCAATGAGGGAGACGTTTGTCAATTTGATTTTTGTACAGAACCCGTGATGGGTACGCTAAGAAAACCCCATCGACAAGCCCCCCTTTTTCATTTTCTTCATGAACATCCATCTGCCTTCCGGATCCGTCCGTCGCGTTGGGAAGCATCTGTAGGGTGTAGCGCATTGTCCCCGGCTCCACCTTGGAGGATGGAAGGAACAGCGGCATGGCCTCCGACACACCACAGCGTCGTGAGAGAAGCAAAAAGTTCTCTCGTACTGCTGTCAGGACATCATGGTCCCGTATAAGCTCCTGTATGACGGAGGGGAGACCACAAGAAGAATACTCATTACCCTTCCGCTTGTCGTGTCGCCCTTCTTTTTCTTCCGCAACGACACATCGAAGCCGTTCGAAAAGTTCCTCAAAAATTGACGATAGACCTCCGCTTGACATTCCTCCGTTTCTTATTGCCGCGGATGATGCCACAGCTGCGAGCTGCTTTCCGGAACGGGGTGGAGAGAGAAGCAACGGTGTCCCCCAGTGGCCCAACAAGAAGACATGATCATAAAACTCCAGCCCATCCACCGTGGAGGATTGTCGACGCAGTGTGAGAAGTTCCCAAAAGGATTCATTTTTTTCCGCCCCATTCCTCCTCGGTCTCGTGTCTTTATGACCGTCACTTGTGTTACCGACGTGGGCTGACTGAAGAACGCCTCCATGCACACCACCAGGGATGTGAGTAAGAACCTCTTGAATCAACGCACAGTGTGTCGCCAAAGCAAGGGGGGAAATCGTTGTGTGGGAAACCATCGTAGGCAAATACACGGCAATAAAGCAAACAGGGGATTGTCCAACTTCTAACGCTGCCAATACCGCCCCATGTTCACCACGTAAAGCGGCAAATGTGAGTGGTATCCTCTTTGTGCGTACAGCCCCACAGAGACACGCCACATGTTTTCGTGCAAAGAGAAAAAGCACCACGGCCGTCTCTAAACAGACCGTGGCAATGACAA